GAATTAACATAGCGTATTAGCACAGAGTGCCTTCCCTGCATTAGTAGGAATAGCGTCATTGAGAACGGCGATATTTCCCACTTTATTTGATATCTCCAAAAAGCTGTAATCAAGTGATCGAAACTCTCAGCCCACAGGAAACGGACCCCGCTTTCAAAAAACTGATGAGAACTGCTTCTGAAAGAGAGGGGCTAATATGACAGGCTGCGCTTGATCAATCATATAGACTATTCTGTTACACTTCATAGATTCTTCTACTTCACTTCATAGATTCTTTCATTTCACTATCAAACATGTATGCTCTGATTCTCGGCCATTCTCAATCGCCGATCCTTGGCCGTCATGAACATATATAGATTCTTCCACCCCGAAGCTTCACTGCATACATCGTCACATACATGTATAAATATTCATCTTGATCACTGATTTCTACACTTTCTCTTTCTTTTCCTTCTTTAACATTTTTCTCTTTGTTATATAAGATCTATCAATATTATACTGATCTATTCGGCGTAGGCCTCTTATAAAAATAGCTGTTTAGACTCTTTAATTATATCAGATGATTGATTATTAAGTGTAACATCTTGATTAGAAAAAGATTCATATATTGAAACTTTTAATATAAACTAAACTTAGTTGAAATATATAATTGATTTACTGTTTCAGTTTTATAAGATACTTAAGACAGTTTTAATCACTTATATATTAATACTGCAGTCAGTCTGATAAGTGTATAACAGTTTATTTACTTATCTTAAGAAGCAGTTAAATCACTTAAAAAGAAATTCAGTCTGAGTTAATACTATAGCATAGACTATTATTACTGTAAGAGATAAACTGATATATTACTACAGTAAAACTGAATAATTTTTTACAGAGTACTGTGATTCAAAGATTGCTTGAGCCAGCGTACGATTACAGGTGTACACCGGCTTCTTATATATGTTATACTAAATTAGTGGCTGCTAGAGCCTCTTTTACATTCATAAGCATGTTTAAAAGTGACTGTGTTATTATTCACTGATTATACATTCTTCTGAATTACATTCTCTCTTATCAGATTCAGTCACACTCACATAATTATGACATAAGCTCTAGCTTTATGTGAATTAGTGTATCACTAGTGTTCACAGTTATATAGTCTGTCTCTGATTTAACTAGTGTTCTGTATACATTCTCACAAAGAAACTTTTACTATATTACATTACTCATTTACTAACTGTTTTCATTCTTTAATCATCTTCTTTATTATCATCATCATTGAATATCATCATCTTATTCAAGATTTCTGTCTCTTCTTCTTTTTAATATCTTCTATCTGTTTATCTATCACATTGTACATGTTTCTAGCAATGATCTCTCATTCTTATAACAAGTGTCATTGTAGTGCTCATATCAGGCAGTTCATTAGCAGTAAGTGTAATATGTTGTGAAATGTGACCAGAACTTGTTTATCTTCTAACAATCATCAGAATGTACTATTATAAATGACATATCTTCTTCATCTTCTCATACACTCTTAATCTTCTTTTCTCAGTGAGCATCTGATTGTGTTTCCTGATCATGTTTTGTGTGAATACAGATGCTGATATATTTGTTTTAATTCATATAGAATCTTCACATATTGACAGATCTGTGTCTGCAGATGATAGTAAACACCTCAATGTTAAATTATTGATTGAGAACTTGAAGAATATAATAATGAAGAAATTATCTGTGTTATATATAACTGAGTCTTCTATGTCTCTCTCTGCTCTTTCTATTACTGTTTCTTTCTCTGTCACTTCTTCTCAATCTTCTACACTTATCTCTGTTTCTTGCTCTCCCGCTTTTGTCATCTCTATTCCTGCTATTCTCACTTCTGCTACTTCTGTCTTCTCTGTCTCTGCTGCTTCTGCTGTTATCATCAGCTCTTCTTATTTCAAGAAGATGTTGTGTAGACTTGATAAATTACATTTCTCAGTGTATACACTTCTGTTTTTTTACTGATTTCTAGAATACTCTATTATATGAAGACTGTGTATAATACAACTATCTGAAGCTCAGTCACAGACACTAATTATTATGTTTATTTTAAGTATTCATGATGAGATAATCATGTATTAATACCAGAGAATTACTCTTCTTTTTAACAGTATTAAGAGTATAAGTCTTTTCTTTTTCATCTTCTCTTCTAATGCTAATTTTTCTAGGAGAAATTGTTATGAGTTTTATCATACATAAAGTCATAGTGTTCACAGATATTAAGAAACTTTTTATAATCATTAAATTCAATATTACAGATACATTCACTCTGATAAATATTTCTAAGATAATTAACTCATATCAGTCTATTCTCTGATATTTATTGTCTGACTTTGTGATGTAGATGAAGAATATCCATGTTTTCAGAAATGAGAATATGAATATCATACTCTTTTACACTTATAAATGTGAGGCTTGTACACCTTGTCTAAAATGTTATTATGAAAATAAGCTGTTCACATGATAGATTCTACTTTCTGTATTTCTCTGTGTCTCTCTCTCTCTTTCTGAGAAGTCTCATATGTGTTATAATTGTGTATGCAACTCTAAGGTCAGCAGATGTTTATTTGATAGCTGTTCTCGTCTCTGATTTTACAGTTTTATATGCTAATAATAATTCTTAGTTACTCTGATATCAGAGGTCATTTTAATCTCTGAAGATGATAATATCACTGAGACTACTTTCTCTCACTCTTAAGCTTCTCTTATTATTTTCTCTTTCTTCTCTGTGAGAAAGATTGTATGCATACTGAGTTATAAGTGTTCAGCTCTGAGTGACTCTTATCATTATTTATTCAATTCTGTATTCTCTTCTTCTTTCATTTCTTTCATCTTTACTCTCTCTACTCTGACTTCTAATTCTATGAGTTCTGCACTCTTCTTTAATTTTTCTACACACACATGTACACATTTCTATATTGGCATTTCAGTCAATCTTGTAATAAATGATATTAATATCATACACAGAGTAGTAGAGAAATCAGAGACATATATGATATTATTACAAGAGCAGCTTACAGGTCTTGAATTTCTTACAGATCTCAAGTTTTGAGATTTCCTTTGTTTTTAATGTTTTTCAGATGATATGATGTTGGAAATAGATTAACATGTGATGTATGAAAATGAATGAGATATATATGATAATATTTATCTTTTTGCAGCTGACTCTTACAGTTGATAATCAATTCATTATTTCTTCTCTTTTCTTACACTTTTGCTTTGTCTGCTAGTTACTACTCTTATACAATCTCTATATAATACAGTGTTCAGTAACTAGATTCAACAGCTTTCATCTTTTATAATTCTATCTCACATATTATACTATCTCTCTTCACCTGCTCAGACTACTACAGTAAACAGCTCATTAAAACTAATCTCACTTAATCTCTGAGTATTCTCAGAGATTGAAATGACTTGATCTCATATATTCACAGATGTTTCAGATGCTTCATTCTTTGTTATCTTTGTAATTGAACTGATATAAATAGTTAAATTCAACTCTGAATTTCTTTTTCTTCTGTAATCTGATTCATATGTAAGTCTGCTGCTTTGAGACTGCTTTTTACTATATTACACTCACTATTTACAGTATGTTATTATATGACTGACTACAGTCTTATTACTTATTAAAGTGTGATGATTATCTGATTTCTTTATTACTTTTTATTCATTTCTTATAATTATGAAAAGATTAGAATAAGTAAGATCATCTGATTCATAAATATCTATGATTTCTCTTACTTTATGAGACTTTTCAATCATAAGTCTCTTCTTTTTCAACACTGATAATAATGCTGTGAATGACTATAATGTGCTTGAGTCTTACATTGTTGTCTCTATAAGATGTGAATTATTTATTAAGTTGTATAAGACTCATCTCTCTGATTTCTTCAATGCATATGTTCTCAGAGAATGTGATTTGAGTATTTTATAGAGCTTAAATCATCTAGATTGAAACTTCTCAGAACTCTTATTATATATAAGAACTTATATTTCTATCTTAAGATTTAATTTCTTAATTAGTGAGTCTCATATTCTTTTTAATTGAATTGCTTAGTTCAGAAGTATCTTGTTAGCTTTTGCACATGCATGACTGATCTCTTTCAATCTTGATTCTGTGTCTGTGACTTCTGCGTCCGCGATTGCTGTGTCTGCAACTGCTGTGTCTGCTACTATTGCATTCACAATTGCTGTTCTCTCTCTCATCTTTTCTGAAGTATTCTCTGGAATGCATGAATGCAATTCATACAACAGGTAAAATGATGAATGCTTGGAAACTGCATACTGCTGAATCTGCATAACTAATAGCATCTGTCTGAGATATTTATTTCATAGTCTCATAGACTTGCTCACTAGATATTTTATTAATATGTTACTCAGAATTTCATTCAAGTATTTTATCTTCTCATTCATCTGTGAATAATATAACATTGTTCTATAATATCTTGTCTGTAATTAGCTCATGAAATGTCTCATCACTTCTTCTATGAGATTCACACTGTTATTAGTTAGAATCTCACACAGTATTTCATAGTTGATATAAATCTCATTATATAGAAACTTCATCATTATCTTCTCTATCATCTCTGAAACTGCTTTCACAACTGATCAGTCAGTTATATAGTCAATAGCAGTGATTATTCAATAATTTTCATTTGACATTCACAGTAGTATATCTATGAGATTCATCTCTCATTGTTTGAACAGTTATATCATACTTTTCATCTCATATTGCACTTTCTCATATTCTAATCCTTTCTTAGATTCTTTCACAACTTGATAATTCAGACACTTGTAAGCATATATCTGAATATTCTCAGTCATACTTGATCAGTACACTCTTGATTCAAGTATACTTATAAGTTCAGAGCTTTCTAAGTGACTGAATTTCTTGTACATATGAGTTACTAAGTTATATCTAAATAAATATTCTAGATAGAGAGCTTCTGCATATTCTAGATTATAATAAAGTATAACATCATTTTTCAATTTTCTCAGCTTGAAGTTCAGAAATATCTCTTCTACTACTTTTATAAAATACTTATTATTTAATATCTTATCATTCTTTAAGTGAGAGATCATTGTATTCACTCATTCTGGTTCCTTATATCTTCTCAGTGTATTTAATATAAACTTTTCTTATATCTGATTCACAGAACTCTTACTTATAAAATCAGGTCTGTAACTGATTATATCAGATATTATAGTATCTGATCTCTTTCAGTATTTAATATGAAGATTATATACTTAAAACTCTGAGATTCAACATACTAAGCATTTGAAGAGTTTTATTATTAATTATAGATAGATGAGACTTTCATGATCTGTGATCACTGTTGTTATATATCTGTTATTAATATATTTATTTCACAATATCAGCATGTGCTTGATCACTAGTAATTTCTTTTCATACACTGAGTAATTGAGTTCAGTGTCTCATAGTTTTCTATCATTATTTATCACTGAGTGTAGCTTGTCATTCTTATTCATCTGCAGAAAAATGTCTCTGATAGCTCATTTAAATGTATGTATCTCAATGTATAAAGATTTATCATGATCTGATTGAATAAGCACTCAGAATATTATCATATATTTTTTCAGTGTGAGAAAGACCTCTTCACACACAGCATTTCAGATAATTGAATAAAACTTCTTCTTTCACAGATTAATATCTGTTTCTCTTAAGAGATCTGAGAGTGATATAGCTATTCATGTGAAATTCTTAATAAATCTATAGTAATATAAGATTCACTTAAGAAACTGTTATATATGACGTATATTTCTTAGTTATAATCAATTCACTATAACATTTAATTTCTTCAGAATGAGATGTATACAGTCATCACTTATTATATATTTTATAAACTTCAACTCTTCTGTTTTAAACACATACTTTATTAGTTTAATATAGAGCTTATACTCTGTCAGAGTTATAAGCACTTTATTAAGATACTTCAGATATTCATTGTATAAGTTTAAGAAGACTAGAATATTATTCAGATATATAAAATATGAGGTTTTATTCTGTTTGTAAAGAATTGTATTCATCATCATTTAAAAGATAACAGATGCATTTATCAGACTGAATAATATTATCAGAAATTCAAACTTTTCTCATTGTATATTAAATATAGTTCATGATACTGATAGTTCATCTATATAAATCTGTTAATATTCTAAGAGAAGATTGATCTTTGATAGATATCAGATATTTTCAACTGTATTCAACTATTGTTAAATCTGTGATAATAAGTATTTATTCTTACTTATAAGCTTTTTAAGTGCTTGATAATTGATACACATTTATCACTTCTCATTCACCTTTTTCATGAATAGAACTGAGAAGTCTCATACACTTGATAAGAATTGTATAAGATTATATTCTAGAAGATCTGTGATCTGATACTTCTGTTCTTCAAGATATATTTGTAACAGAGAGTATGCATTCTGATTAACTGATTTTGTATCTTCTGTGTTAAGTTCATATATGAATTCTTGTTCTGATAATAATTTCAGTGAAAGATCTATTCAGAAGATCTTTTCATACTTCTTCAGAAGTTTCTTCATACACTTATTCTTCTATATATTCTTTATCTTAGTTTTCTTCTCTTTCAGGTCTTATATAATATACAAGATGCTTTCAGATATGATCTTGTGAATTGTTCTCTTTACTTGTTAATCTATAAGCAGATTTAATTCTTTCATATCAGAAATATGAAATGTTCTTCTCATATCAGTTGATAGAATTATATGAACTGTTTTCTTTCTATCAGTTAATTTCATATAGCATGTATGTTATTGAATCTGTGAATTAAGTCTTTAAAATTAATTAAGTTTAAGAATAAGATCATATTTCATATTCTGCAGCTCTCATGCTTAAATATAGCAAGATCATTCTCTGAAGTGCAAGAGAACTCTTACTCTTATAGATGATACTAGATATTAGTTATCAGACAATCTTATGTTTTGAGAATTATTCACTCAGTGAATCTCTTTCAGTCTTCAGATTATATAATTATCAATATATTATGTAGAAGCTTCTATATCTACTAACACTTTTACACTCATCTCTTAATTCTTACTCAAGTACTCTCTATACATTAACATTTCAGATCTTAAGGTATTGAGATAAGTATCTGCTTCATTCTCACTCATATCTCAGTCAGAAGTCTGCTTTCTCTTGATATTCACAGAATTCAAAGAGTCATCTAATATAAGCATCTCTTTTATTTTGAAGACTTTTGATAGAATATCAGTAAGTGTCTCTAAACTCACTGATTCTGCTAGTTTTTTAACTCTCTTGCTTTTCTTGACTGTGTACACTGTGTGTAATTCTTTGTATCATGATTTTAACATTCACAGTTGAAGCAAGCTCAATGCTTATAATATCAAGATTTTCACTCAGAGAATCTTCTTT